TCCTTGTCTTCTGGATTGGTTCAAAATTACAAGGCTACGGAGTTGAACGTAAGTAGTCGTAAACCCATGAAATTGGGTCGGCTGTTCAACGACGGTTATAAAATAAAATAAAATGATCAAGTAAACATTTTTAAAAAAAAAGTAGGATTGGATAATCGGCTGCAAATCGTTCGCTTAGCAAAAACATTTCTGGAAATAGAAGCGGGTCACACCAACATATTCCTTCTTTTTTCATTATTTATAGTAAACATGATAACAAAATAATAACACAAACCTTCCAACCTTTTCTTCTTTTTTTTTAATGAAATTTTGAGTAATAACGAGCTGAAATATTTAAAACTTGAGCCTGAAGCAGAAAAATGTCAAGAAAAACTTTTCAATTTTAACACGCTTATTGCTTTCCTAATACAATTATCTTATATAAATAGAATGCTGTTATAACCAAGTAATGTGAATTTAACTCATCATTAACGAAAAATAAAATACCGAAAATCACTAAAACAAAAAGTTTATAATACATTCAACCACAATCAATTTTTTATTAATATATATATATATATATATATATATATGAGCATTTTCAGCACAAAATTTGTTCTTGTTTGTAAATATTCAAAGTTAATTATAAAAAAAATTAAACAAATATTATGCAATATAAGCAATGAAATACAAACAAATTTTTATCATCAGAATGTTATATCTTATTTCGTTTGGTCTATTAATTTCCTATATAAATAAATTAAAATCATTGCATCAAATAGCACTTTAGTAATTATGCAGAATAATTAATATATTTGTTTTCATTATGAAATAATAAAGTCATTCAGCGGAATGGGAAGTCAAAGAAAAAGGCAAATTAAAGATAGATTTGGATTTTTTTTTTTTAAAGGATTATATTTGAAGGAAAAGAAATTGTTACATTGATTTCCCCATAAAATTCAAATGATAAGTCTCATAACTAAAAATGATAGCTATAAAGCTTATAAGAACAGAGAATACGACTCAGTTTCAAGTGAAAATATTCCAAAATATTAGGTTTGTAAATAAATAATAAATACATGAATAACATTATTTATTGTCTTAACAAATAAATAATTTAATAAATAAATAACTTAATGAATAAATAGTTAAATAATTGTTTTCATAAATATATTATTTTCTCTTCTTTAAAATGGGAGCTTTAGGAAGCAGAATTTGATTCCAGGAAACATAAAAAAATAGGAAGAAAAAAATATACATAAAAAGCTATGGAATTTGTTATTATATATCAACAAATAATCAAGTTAATATAACAATTTAACATATTAATTTTAAAGCCAAAAACCTTCATTTATAATGAAAATTCTTAGTTGTAGACAAAGAGTTTCAATTACAAAGATTCTTTCCAACAAAATAAATTGATAATGATAAAATGATTCGTTGAAATGATAATTATTCTTTATATTAAAAACACTCAAGAATATAAGAAAATATTTTATTATGCATTGTATATTATAAAATATAATTTAAATTTACATCATGAATGCAATTCAATGCTTACTACGGATGCATTTACCTTAGAAAAATAGGAATAGTTACAATTTCTACACATCAAATTTCAACACATGGTTTCTGTTTATGAGTAAAAAACCCTTCCATGGATGCACCTTAGTAATAATTTTGCTCTAAAATAATCTAAATAAAACTTCACTTTTAAATTTAAAAAGTCATTTTTCTAGCTACGGAAATTAAGGACTAGCCAGTAATATTATAAGTTTGAAACAAAAAATTTCATTGCACATATTTTAATTAAAGAGGTAAATTCTATATGTGTAAATAATGTGGAAAAAAATGACTGAAAACTTTTAAAGAAAAAATGTACAAAACTGATGTTATCATTAACACGTTCTAATGCATACAAAGCACAATATTATAAAAAAATTACAAATTGTTTAGCCTTATTTTAACTCGCAACATATGAAATGGTTTCAGAAGCAAACATATAAAATTTTAAGCAATGTAATAAATATAAAGCTCTAGATCATATCGCTCTAAATATACCACTAAATTCTTCACATAAACTGTTTGCTTTGAACCTTTTATTTTTGACCAAATTATATCTCATTTGTTTCAACGTCTTGTAATCATTGAGAAACATGTGAAACGTCACACGAACATGTGAATTCAAATGATGGGATATAAAAGACATATAGGATGTTTTCATCTACATTCTTATGACTTTTTACTTGTTTGATATTTCAATTCTTCGTTGCTGATGACAAAAAGAAGAATACAATATGGAGAGAAAAAATTTAAACATTTAAAGTTTTGCAATTTCAGTGATTCTTGTCACATTTTTTTTAAAAAAAATTCATATCTCATTTTCAAAATTTGATTGGAATGAAAAATTGCGTCCAAGCCAGAAAAAGATAGAAAGAAACTTGAAACTTTGATTAGTGTGGGTATTCATGATGTCCAAAAACTAGTAGAAATGACTTAAAAGAACAGAGTTACAATTTTTCCAATGAGGAAATAGCCTAAAAAGGAACTTAAAGATGACCAGAAGGACCTCTCATTTTCTCAGCAAATGATAAAGCGCAGAATGATCATTGGAGTTCTGAATAATTATCAAAAGTTCCACTATAGAAACACTTTACTCTGATAGCTTTTTGTTACAACAAAACAATCCTAGTCCCCCAATTTCAAAACAAACCACAAAATGGTATTAAGATAATGGAATAAATATTTTAGTGGCCTGCTTCATCTCCTGATCTCAGAGAATTTGTGGGGAATAATGTACTTGAAAAATCAAGAAAGAAGACAGTTAAAGAATTAAAGGAAAATTTGGTAAATATACGGGTCTAAATATATGTGCCAAAACGGCTTCAAATGCTTATTAATACCAAATGAAAGAGAATTTATCCCTGATTTATTTGTGTAATTTTGAAGTAAGATAAGACATTTTAAGACGAATTTTAATTTCTGATTTCTACTTTAAATTAATTAAATAAAACATTTTTTAAAAGTCTCATTTGTCCACATTGTTTTTCATAATACAGATTCACAGGAATTTCTACTCAACATAACTGCCAACATGGATAGGAAAAAATCCAGCAGATATAACGAAATAACATAAATTCCATGTCAATTGTTGCATAACAAATATTTCACACACAAGGAATTTAATAGTCATCAAAATAGAAAAACTGCAATATTTTCCAGTTATGATTGACATTAAACATACTTGAAATGTTATGTATTATGCTTACTCATAATTTCAAATATTAATAGGCATTTAATTCATCAAGGATAGTTAAGATTTTTTGAATTAATTTAAGAAGAGAGCTTTGAATAAAAATAAACAGAACATTTAGAACAAAAAAAAGTTTTGGACTGATTTCTATAAATGAGATTCGCTTCATTATGTATTAGCAATACTTATTTAAATTTTCAAGCAATAATCTGTAAAAATTCTATTTCAATAGGATTTTTTTTAGGAAACTTACTCAATTTTGGGAATTTTCAAAAATGTACAAAAACCAGGAGAACTTTAACTAAACCATTAGACCAGGATAAACTGGCAAAATCCAGTAGAGTTGGTTATCAATATAGATTTTCTTTTAATCAAAACACCTACATTTTCCTCCCGTTTTATTACTTCTTAAAAGATTTTTCGAGAGCCAGGGAGGCAGCCCAGCAGAGTATATTTAATAATTATTTTGTATGAGTGCTTCTAAAATCAATTTTCTATTTTCCAAACTAGAGAAAAAAATAAATTTAAAAGAAATATGTTTACATCAACTATATAACACAAGTTGAACAATTAATTATTATCATAATTGTGAAGAAAGTTTTTTTTATTTTTGACAACTAATTAGCAGTAAAATATTATTTAACCACTCTTATATAACTTCATTGTATTGATGGAACAGAAAAGAAATCCATTTACAAAACTCAGCTAAATATAAAAATCACTTAGCTAAACATTTGTTCGATAAATAAAATTAAATACGTAAATCAAGAGAAAAAATTAATGCACAAAACAAAATTACAAATATACACATATTTCAACATAGCCTCAGTAGTATATTTAACGTATCTATAGTATTATTGTCAAATAAAATACAACCAAATACTAAAGTATAAGCATTATAGGCATACTGAAATATTACAAAAGAGCAAGATAAATTTTAATACTTAGAAAAAAATTCTAAATAACTAAAAAAATACTAACGATTCTACACAAATGAAAATTATTGCACAGTTTTATAAATACTACTGCATTCAAATTTGAAGAAATAAATTGAACATTTTGCAAATTAAAAACAAGAAAATTGACAAATGACACATAAGGCAGATTTTAAATAAGGAGATAGAAATAAAAGTTCATAAAATAAATCAGATTAACTACTGCCATATTGTCCAAATAAAAAAAAAGGGAAATAGGTTGATGACATTAGGAAGGTGGTTGACAATTTCACCTTTCTACACAAGTTTTTATAAAAGATGATAGAACAAGGTAAGAAATATGTATACAAACAAATAAAATTTTTTAAACATCAGATAATGAAGAATTTCCAAAATTTTAGAATAGCAAATTTTATTTCTTCAGATTAGTCTTGTTCAGCAAGACCATAGAAAATATAATATATTATTTAAAATGGATGTAATATTATGAGCTAAAAATTATAATCAAGCTTAAAGTTATAGATTGCTCCTCTTGGGCCACATATTTGGAGCCACATATTTCCAATTAAGTTTTTTTTTAAAATACAAAAAGAGTTTTATATTATTTCTACTTCACCACTACAATGCTTGCAATATCTAACATTTGCATCATTTGCACATTGATGAGGTAAGACATGACATGCTGTCAATCCAGCATCTTTAATTGTATTTTTGTTAAAAGGTACATCTTTAGAAGACAGTCTTTCAAAATTGCTGAATAACTAGAAAAAATAAACAAACATAAACAGCTGCTTTTATGAAAAAATACATGCAACAATTGAAAATTTTTATTAAATAGATAATACCCTAAGAACAGAAATATATTGACTACTCTGCAACAAAACTTTTGATAATTACAAATGTTCTGTAAATATTATCAAAAATAAACAAGTCTCACTCATTTAATAATTACAATTTTTAAATGACATTTTGCCACCTATATTTGGAAAAAGTTGATCAATCCTTTACATCTCAACATTTCCAAAATAAATAAAAAAAATTGCTAATACATTAGAATATGTCATTTTAAGCACATAAAAAATAATAAATAAAAAAATTAAAAATTTATTGAAAAAAAAATGGTTTGTTGATTATGCAAAATGACAAAACAGTGACTGTTGCATTTCTGCACAATTGTGAAAAATGAGATAAAGATTTAAATATTCAAACATTTCAAATTAATCAATCAAATTTAATGCATTCATCTCAATGCAATGAAAATATGCAATTAGAGAATGATCCCCAAGTCAAGTTCAAGGGTTATGGTGCAGATTTATAAATAGAACAACAGAAATGAAAAAAATATTTGCCATTGGAAAAAAAATTAGGCAATGTTTAGTTTGTCCTCGTGATTAGCAAAAATTTGAGATTTTTAGATTCAATTTCAGAGGGTGAAAAATGAAGCCCGAAATAGTGCATCTCTTATAAAATGCAGCAGTGCTAGATTCCTTTCATACGTAATGGACCGACAGTACAAGATAGATTGTGGCTGAATGAATTGTAAAAATGTTGAATGTAATAATGTGAATACCACGCTTTTTGTGCAATTCGAATAATTTTTGTGTAATAAAAATAGGTTTTTGTGTAATAAAAATAGATAAGGTAAAGAAAAAAAATCTTATTTTGGAAAGGGGAAAATGAAGCATTTTTTAAAAACACCAAATGAAAAAAGAACTTTTAAGGGCTTTTAAAATAGAAAATAAGCACTTTTAAGCACTTTTTAAAAATGCTATGCATGCTGACAAGAACAGAATTAAATCTGGCTTTTTGTTTTGAGGCTAAATATTTTCTTAAAGGTCGCATCTCTGTGAGCAATGATTAATACTGCTAGCTGTAACTTTGCAAACAAACTGAAAGTATTACTTTGCCTGCGATTAACTTTGAACCATTTTCTACCTATCCTATCAAAAGAATGAAAAATCTCAAAACTTCTAAATTGAAATATTGCTGAAATTTGCCCTTTTAGAATGAATTTGAAATACCATAGGCTTTGTTAATGCAGTTCTTTGTATAATGCTCTGTTAAAGCATTGTTACACTTTTTTTTAAAGTTCAGCTAGCAATTCAAAATATTAGAAAAGATTGTAAAAGGGAATTAAAATGATAAATAAAATATACTTGAACTACAACATATCGGACAAGAAAAAAAGTTTTGAGAGCTGTACACTAACTGCTCACAGGTCTTCTGACTCATATACTTTTGAGGAAAAAAACCTCAGAAAATACTTAGTTACAGCGTATACAATTTCATAAAGATGAACACAAATGCAGGGACAAGAGCATATGCAGTTATTTCCCAAACATAAGTTGTTCTGTAAGGGCTTTGAATGTTGCGTGCTATACATTATAGGTTTGAGTACATTTTGCTTGAAAGGATATAACTAAATTTTTGATTTAGCTTTTTTTTGAACAAAATTAAATTGATATTTGAACTATTATATCTAAGAAGCCAGTTCAAAAAAAAAAAAAAAAAAAAAAAAAAAAAAAAAAAAAAAAAAAANAAAAAAAAAAAAAAAACTAAACTGAGTGAGAATTTTGAGTAGCAATGCATTAAATTTTTTTCAATTTGTACATAAAAAAAATAAGCAAGCATTTTGTTATAAGAATAAATTAGATAACTTCCAAAACTAGGGTTTAACGTACAAATTTATTAAGTTAAAAAAATAAGAGATTATATTGAATTTCAGGAAAAATACTTTAGATACACATATTATCTACCTAAAAATACATTATCGAAAATCAAAGCATTCTAAACACTTTTTAGTCATAACCCAAAACAATGTAGTTTATTTATAATATCTATGAATATATTTCAAACTAATTTTTAAAAAAATACTATTATATAAAATATACAGTAGTTCATTTTTAAAATATGCAAACCAGAGAATATACAAATTGCAAAGGAATGAGAGTTTTCTCTATTTTAACCATGAAAATAATGACAGGATAAACTAGACCAAATCTTTTCTGTTTTGTAATGAGTTATAAGGTTTATAAAAAATTTTTAATATATTTTATTTTTACAGTAGTTTAAATTAAGTCAACTTTCAAACATCTTAAATCTCAAGCTCAAGTTGGAAATTCCTGATCTAAATTTTAACTGAAAAAAAAAACTCTTTTAAATTTATGAATAATTTAAAAATGCTACAAAACTTTTAATTTTTTAATCAAGAAAGCCAGGGGATAAGTAAAATGTTAAAAAGAAGAATTTCCTAAAAAAAATAATAACTATGCAAATAAGAACAGGATGAATAAAATTCTGCATTTCTCTTTTTTGAAATGTTTTATGATATAAAAAGCTTTAAAAATGTAAAAAGTTTAAAGAAAAATTAATTTAATTCTTTGTTTTCTGAGAAACTCAGACAATGCTTAGATAATAAACTCAGCAACCAAAATTTAAGTCAAGATCCATAGAATAAAAATTCCTATTCCAAATATTATCAGAAAATAAAATCCTGTTTTAATTCATAGAAAAAGATTTTTAACAATAATAATCAATTATTTAAATTACACTTACATCATAAACTAATAGTTCAGCATTAGTAAACTGTCGCAGGCCACTAACTGTAGATTTATTATCAAAAATTTGTTTGCCAATAAGCCTTTCTTGAATTTTGGAGGATAAGCTCTTTAGTTCTACAGCTAATTCTAAGACACTTAGTGATTGATCATGATTTTTATAAGTTTGTTTGGCACTGGGATCAAAAGCATCAAGAGTTTGTTCCAATATGCTGAAACATCAAAATGCACAAAGTTAAATGATGTATTTGGATACACTTAATACCAAAGAAACAACAATCATGAATTTATTTATAATGAAACCTGATTAATTTTTTGATTAAATTTGTAGTCTATCAACAAAGTTCCATATTCCATTACAACTAGGAACAGTTGACCATTAATAGGAATTATTTGACATAACAAAGTAGATACATGGTGCAACAAAAAAATCCAGACAAACAATTTTAAACATTATTTTATTAAAAATTAAAAAATTAAAAAAGATATAACAAATTATAATGAGGATGGTTAGTCCATTGTAGTATTAGACATATTATGGCATTTCAGATACACTTTAATTAAGATATGAAGGAGGGATATTTATCCCAGAAAAATAAATAAAATCGTTGCCACGTGTCAATGTTCGCGAAAACCCTTTGGCACCATTGTAATAAAAAGCAATTTCCAAAATAAACATTCTAAACACGTTACATTTATCAAATAATAACAATAAAAACAAAAAAAATTTTAGTGTAAAAACACATAATAAAAAGGATCAAGAATTTCAGAAAATGCAAAATGTTTAGAGACAACAATAGAAAATATATTATCAATGAATAAATACTAATATGTTTATAATAATGTATTGTAAGATTTCATGAGGATCCAAATCAGGCACAAATTTTGCAATTATCTGATATTAAAAAGGTTATAAGCTTAATAACTTAATATAAAATCAACCTGGAAGAAAATTTATCTTTAGATTCTATAAATTGTTTCATTTCTCCATTTTTTTTATGAAGGTAACACATACTATGGATTTATATTACTTACATTTAAAACTAAGTCTCAACAACAAAATATTTTATTAAGAAAATTTTACTGAAAGCAAACAATGACAAAACTAAATAGTAAGCACAATGATTTTCTATCAAATTTATGTACGGAAAAAAAATTTAAAAGTATATTTTCAAATATTATAATAAAAACCATTAAATCTGACATAAAAAAGTCTTTCACTACATGCATGAACATGAATGAAACTACATGCATGAAAAGTATATTTTCAAATATTATAATAAAAATCATTAAATCTGACATAAAAAAGTCTTTCACTACATGCATGAACATGAACATTAAAAATAAATTCAAATATGAAAATATATTAAAAAGGTTATTTTTATTAAAATATATTACAATGCTAAACGGTTAAAAATATATTAAAAGGCTTGATTTTTTTTCCACTGAGTTATTCAAAGTTATTACATAACAAGCAGTTAGGAAAAATAATTTTATTAGAAACCAAAATTAATTCACAACTATTTGAATTTTTTAACTAACATTTACTCTTCTAAGTCAAAAGACTTGAAGAGATAAAAGTGTTTGCTCATTTAAACTTCAGCAAAAAATTTTCATTTGTTAAGTAACATAATGTAAATAAAAACTTACATGTGAGTGGTGTGTAGCTGCTTAAACAAAATATCATGTTCCCGCAGCATTGAGTCAAGAGCTGCTATTGAATCATTCAGTTTATGGGATAATGAAGCCTTCCACTGAGCAAGCTCTTTAACCATCAAACTGAAATTGAGTAGATATCATAAGTTAACAAGAGCAAACAGACAACCACTGCAGGTTAAAAATATAAATTTTATAACAATTAAAATTATATTTATATCTTTCAATTTAATTTTATAGCAATAAGATAACAAGGAATTCAATTTTTTAATTAATCTAATTTGAACAAGGTAAATAAAAAGGTTTTCATTATTTTCATGTAGGCCTTTTGCAACCTAAATGTACAGAAGAAGTTATAGCACTTTAATTTGAGCCCACAAGAAATTCTACGAATAGAGTTTAGTTAAAAAAGATTTTAAGTTATATATTATTTAGCACTTCCACTTTTGAACTATAAAACAACCAATACAAAAAAAGTCATAAAGGGTGAGGCGAAAACTAAGTTATGCCTCGTACAAATATGCAGATTAGTAGATAGATGACGAAGTAGTATATATTTTAAAAAGGGACCTGCTTTTAGTAAAAAGGAACTCAGAAATTTGGATGTCCGACTTGCTAAGGATCCACAGTTTCCCAAAGTCTAGAGGAATCACTGTTAGTAAGAAAATTGAGAGATACAAAAGGATTTTATTTTTAATTAATTTAGTCTTAATAATGTATTATAAAATTGAATTATTTTGCAATGATCTTAAATTTTCCAATTATCATTGGATAAAAATACTAACTGAAACTAACACTCTTTGGGTGTTTCTAAATGGCAGGTTGTGAATCTGATAGAAACATTACAATTCCGTTTTGAAAGATATAATGATATTCATTTTCGTGAAAATAAATAAGTAATTTAAATTAACAAAAAAAATTATTTCAACATCCTCATTGTTATCCAATAGCCAAAGTTTGAAAAAAAATAAGGATTCGCAATGCATATTTAAGTAAGTTTTTTTTTTTCCTTCTTTCAATTACAATTCAAATAAATTTTTTCACAATTTCATTTTACTTGATATCTCAAGCATTTACACTCAATTGTTTTCTTGTGCATTTCGACACATTTTTTTCTTATTTTGATAGTCTTTATATGATGTCATTACAATAAGGGAGTATTTCGAATTTAAAGAGTAACTTTTTAACAATCGATTCTATTGTAAATCAACATCTTCTATGGTTCTTTTTTCCTTTTCTTGACATTTATTTGCTGTTTCTTAGCTATTTCCATATGTTTTTTTTTCTATTCCAATAATTTTAAAACAATGTTATAGCTAACGAATTTTGTATTATAGCAATAATTTTTTATGTTTTCAACTCGCAACAATTGCATCGTAAATTAACATTAATTTCTGATCATCTTTTCAACTGCTATTGCAGTTATTTTCCATTTTTTCAGACATTTCGACACGATTTTTAAAAACCTGATATTTTTAATATATTATTTTTACAACATATAAGATTTTAAAATTGAGGAATTATGCTAAGTTAAAAACCTGTTTAGAAAATGTGTAAATTTAACTGAGGAATTATTTTTAAGTTAAACTATTTCACTTTGAAAAAAAAAAGATTTCTTTCTAGTGATAAAACTAAAAGCTTTGATTATTTCGTTTTCAACCCCCTGAATATTCAGGGTCTTGAATGAATGTTGTCAAATTTTCAGTAAAATTATAATTTTAAAGTTAAGCCAAGCAGAACTATTTTTGCAACTAAGAAAAAATATTTAGTTGCCATTGACACCAGGCTGCTATACTTTAATTTTTAACCCAACATACACCTCAAAAAAAATTTTACCATTATAGTAAGTCTTGTAGCACACTATTTCTGACCACTGGTCATAACTTTATCGAATTTATCAATGACAAGGAACAAGACATAATTGTATTTCATTTATCAAAAGACATAATCATCACAATATATCAGTTTTTAAATGTTTTAAAAAAATTTCAGAATATTTTGCCAAGCTTCAAATATTAGTATAAATTAAAATTCGATTAAGAAAAGATATTTTTAAAAAATAAAAAATAAATTTAAAAATTTAACTCACCTACTAGCCTTGAATTTACTTTCCCACACATTGCATAGCGCAGATAGTTTTTCGACTTCCTCTTTGCTTTGTTCCAATTCATCAGAAAGCTGAAGAACTTCTTTGCCTAAGTGAACTTTGTCTTGTGTCATGTACTGAACTTTACACTGAACATCTTCACCAAGTGATGCTACTAACATTTTTTTCAAATCAGCATTAACCTAAATTGACCACAAGTAATTTCAATATTCATTTAATTTTCATCAAAGTGAAATACTCAATCACAATTTATACTTTGGGAGTATTAATTTTTAAGATGGTTTTTTTAAAAAAAATATATATATATATATATATATTCAAAATAAGTAAAAACAAAAATGACATGACATAAACGACTCTTTTGAAGGATAAGGGGAAACAAGAAGTCAAAGCAAGATATCAGAACGGGAATGAATAATGGGCTCAGATGCTGTGAAAAATGTCACATTGGGTGAGTGATCCAAGAGATATATTTTTGTTTTGAGTAAAAGGGTCAGCATAAACATCTTACAGTTAGTTACATCCTTTTCAGAAAATTAGATAAATTATTCCCTCTAAATTTCAAAATAAGTTACAGAAGAAAGCTCAGATAGCACTACTAAGTGAAAAAAACTACAAACTACTATAAAATAATGTTTTCTGCTGCACGTTAGACAATTTTTTAAAAAAAATATCTACACAAGCATTCGCTAATTTAATCCTCAATATTGTTTCTGCAAATGGTGGTCAACTCAAATACAGGGTAATTCAAAATGAATATAGCAATTACAAACGGTTGTAACTATTTAATGAAAAAGAATTTTTCGATAAAATTGACACAGAATTTAGAAGGAACTTCAACATTTTCTATACATGCATCACAGATTTTCTATGTAACTTCCCAGTAGCCCCCATCCCCCCAAGCTCTTGGGTGCATTCTTGGGCAAATTCTAAATCCCCCCCCCCAAGCTTTAAGTGGGCGCATCGTGCGCCCACCTCCCCCCTGGTGGGGGCCCCTGTAACTTCCCTTGGTCACATGGACAACATCTAGGTAATCACAGACAAAATGTACCAATTCCCATGACATGAAACTTAATTTTGGTAAACTTACGGTTTGGAAATGTAATTTAAGAGGGTGTTATCAGCAATTGGGACTTAGAAAAGACAACTGGTTTGAGGGAAGCAGAATTCCCTTTTGTTCAACTTTGAGATTCATATACTGGGCAAATTCTAAATTCCCCCCCCCAAAACTATTCGTTTTATTTAGTGTAAAAATTCCCCCCCCCCAAGCTTTAAGTGGGCGCATCGTGAGCCCACCTCCCCCCTGGTGGGGGCCCCTGTAACTGAATATACTGCTGCTGTGAGGAGTTGACGTTGATTAAATTTTGTGAAAAGCAACTTGATAGGATAAAACTGTAATATATTGGAACAATTACATGCGTGAATTTTGTGTCTTGGATATGGAGAACAAACGAAACAAAATGGTAGGTAGACCAGATTGCATTGTGGAAATTGATGAAAGTTTGTTTACCAAACGTAAAAATAAATGTGGTCGAGAATTACCCGAACAGTGGGTGTTTGGTGGTATATGTAGAGAAACAAAAGATTCCTTTGTTGTCCCTAATAGAACTGGCTCTACCCTTCGTGATAAAATTATTGAAAACATTGGAGATGGTAGCACAATTTATTCTGACAGTTGGAAAGGTTACCAAACAAAGAGAAGAATTCCCACATGCTTAAGTTAATTGATCTTGATACAGGAGTTCATACACAAACAGTTGAGAGAACGTAGGGCAGTGCTAAACGGAGGAACAAGAGACATAAGGGACAGTGAGACATCATTTGAAATATTATTTATCAGAGTTCATATGGCAACAGCAACAAGTGAAAGAAAACAGAGACTGTTTTAAATCAAACTCAATATAGGCCCATTTTCCACCGAAATCCTTTACTTTGATTTTAAATAAAGTGTTTCGAATTTTGAAAGCGTTTTGATTTTAAATAAAGTGTTTATTTTATGATTTGTTGCAAAAATTTTAGGTGTAGATTGGCGATACTTAAAAACCGCCAAGTCTGTAGCTAAGGTGGCTTTAATGCAAAGTACCCAAGAAGGATAAAAAATAATAATAAATTTAAAGAATTACAGAAATTTTAAAAGCTAGAAAATATGTAATGCCTATTGGGGCATCACAGATACTTACCTCAGTTTGGACTTGGTATTGGGCATTTAGCTCTTTGTTTTCTTTTTCCAACAATTTGATCTTTTCTTCAAGAGCTTTTAGTTTAACATGGCAATCCATAGTACATTTTTGATTTTCTGAAAGGTTGGATGAAATGTCTTTGTTTTCTACATTAGAATATAATTCTATAATGCTAGATGCAAGAGCACTAACTTTTTGAGAGTCTATCACTAATTTTGAGGCATTGTGGTTATCTTTCATAGTGGAAGAGGGAACGATAGGTAAAACAGCTGCTTTATATGGTTCATAAGGAATAAATTTAGGCTCTTTTAACTTTCCAGGAGAAGGGATGGAACTGATAAAAGAAACTTGTTTGTGATTATTAGCCCAGTTCTTAGTCTTAAACTCAGAATTAGGAGAACAATTTTCCATGCCATCTCCGGCAGAACGACCTGGTACTGGGATTTTCTTTATATCTGTCAGTGCAAACAAAGGAAAAAAAAGCAATTAAATTCCTGTTATTTAATTAATAAAAACCATGATATATTAAATTAACAGTTATAAAAGACAGGGTTTTTTATAATCTAAGATTAATGGATAATTTTTGACAATATTACAATTGCTATTGTACATAAATAATTTAAAAGGTTGAATTAGTTCAACCCTGCTTTTTTATAATCTAGAACCAATAATCTAGATCTTTGGAAATATAAAAATTGCTATCGTACACTGCTATTGCACTCCCTCTTTTTTTTTCCTTCTATAAATAAATAATTTATCATTAAGTAGAATAATAGTTCTTTTTTGTTGTTGTAAAGGAAATTATTATAAAAGTCATGTTTATGCTGCATTTACAGTAGATACTTTTAATTAGTATACAGACCTACGACCAACTGTTGATGTGCGGTCCGTGGAAGCTTCTGAACTCAGTGATTTTTCTTTCCTTTTTCTTTGAAAAAATAAAAAACTGGAAATTTTTGAATTGTACTTTTGAGTTATCACGTTTTTATGTGGTTGATATGCACAGATTCTATTGTAAATCTATGCTGTTTATAGATAGCTTTTCAACAATTATTGCTATGAAGTTCTGCACTGTTTTAAAAAAATCCGATATTTTTAATTACGATATATTACGATGTGCGAATTTAGAATTTGGGCAATCACTTTTTGATTCACCTTATTTTTGTCATTCATAATTACCAGCTTTCAAGTGGTTTTTAAAATTCTGATGCACTTATTATGGTATTACGATTGCATTTATTATGGAATTTAGTGCTTTGAACTCTAAGGTTTAAACAAAAATGATCTTATTTGCTGCCAACATGACTAAACATGCGTATGGCCCTTGCGTAGGTTAGTCAACCTACTGTGCAAGAGGCCCTTCACTCAAAAAGATTATGCACCCCTAGACTATACAAATAAGAAGCAGTAGAAAACGTTCCTAAGTTTCTGTGATACTACAATATCATAATTTTCTAAAAAGAAATATCCTTAAACTTCTATCTCCTTGAAAAACTTATTGTTGGTGAATTTGTTAATCTGGATGCATACTATTAAAGTTTATAGTTGTCTACATAACATTAGAAAAATTACCAGGAGTAGAAATTTTTTAAAAAAATTACTGGTCCATAGGACCAGTAACTAAAACATTTTACTAGTCCGCACAAAACTTTACTGGTCCGTCTATGCGTTCCTATTATCTGCAAATAAAAAAAAAACTAAAATTTTTCATTGAAAAAAATCATGATTTTTTTTTAAAAATCATACATTTTTGATTTAAATCGCATTTTTTTATTAATATTAATTTTGCATAAAAAATTTTTAAAAAAAGTGTAAATAAGCTCTAAAATAGTTTTAAGTAAGATTGTTTAAGTTTCGTACGATCGAGAATAGATCGGCTGCGGCGGAAGGTGGTCCAGCGGACCACTGTTTATTATTTTATGCTGGTCTCACTCCGATTTTAGTGGTCACGGACCAACGGACCACCGTTAATTTCGAGCAATGATTACAGTTGTATACACAATTCCGAATAGTAAAAAAAAATATTTTCACATTAAAGATGATACACAGAGACTAAAACTAGGTTATTAAAAAAAATTTGAATTCTAATTAATCTAAGCAATTTTGTTTCCATTGTTCCAGTAAAATTGTGCCCCATTGTAAATTTAAAAAAATTACATTTAAAAATCTAATTTGTCACAAAATCAAGCAGTATTACAACTCTCTAAAATTTCAAAAACATATGCTGATTGAATATCAACAACATTATAGCTTCATATAAGCAGTTTTGTATGACAATTATAAATAATAATAACCTTGGGAAAGAAAAAAGTCTAAGACAAATCATTTCACAGTGAATGATTTTAAATTCAAATGATTTGGCTAAATTTAAAATTCCATGCTAAACTTTAAATACTAATAGCTTTCATTATTCTTAAATGATCTTGGAGACTTGTTTCACAAAATTTTGACACCAAGTTGACCTTAATGTTCCAGTTTAAAAATTTAAGTACAAATTTGTTTTTATTTATAAAACAATACTTTCATTAAAAAAACGATAATTCAAAGTCGTTTACATTGTTACATTATATTTATATCCGGTTAGATAAACACAGAACTTCAAATTTTATTTATTAATGCAAATTAGCAGTTTTAATTTTCTTAAAACATAAATAAATAAAAGTTCTCATACAGAACATTCATCCTTCTCTATTGCATTTCATAATATTGGGTTACAGACTAACTCTCATATATTTTAAATATGAATAAGATGCTTTGATCGGTAACATCTGTTATTTACAGGAGAATACAAGGAAGATGTGTCTTATTACACGTATCAGCATATTACACGTAATGCAGTAAAATAAGTTTTACCTCCGTAAATCCCATATTTGAAATAAATAAAAAAATTTGTTATATTTTAAACAATAAAAACTGAAATTACAAAATACGCAAATATCATTAAAATCTGAAATCAATATAATTTCAGCATTACGTGTTGATACTTAAGAAAATTGAAAATAAAAGCAATGAATAAAAAAAAATTACTTGACATGTCAACTGCAATTGAATTACCACAAAACGGAAAATGAAGTAGCTTTATTTTATCAAAATTAGACAATCAGAAATATGCAACACAGAGATTGTAAACATTTTTGTTGACAAAATTTTTGAACCCAGATGAAGAGAGGGAAAATAGAAAAACCACTAGAGATCTCGGGAAAATAGCATGGATAAAGGGATAAAGATTAATCGAACATTGAATCGATATATTATAAAATTAATCGATTAAATTTTAAAGATTTTAGTAATCGAATTAGAGATTAGCTATTAAATATGGCAACGTCTGATGAAATCTCAGTTTGTAAACAAACTTCTGATAGTTCCGGTTTTCAAATAATCTAATACAAAGTTTGTTGCTCATTAACATTTAATATTATACTTCAAAAGATCATGCTGATTATATAAAATCACTAAAAAGAAATTAGTTATGGTACTTCGATTGATTCTTCGTCGCTTCACAGGCAACAAATTATATTTTCTTAACACATTATCATCCTCTAAAAGGTTTATTTCCAATGCAAAATCCCTAAGTGCAACATTCCACGACTCATTAAACAACACCAAGCCTTCTCATGATCGAGATGAATTAGATTTAACTTTTGAAGATACAAAAAAAGCGTTCAAAAGCAAAACTACTTGGGAATTAATCCGAGCTATTTGTGTTCTGAAATTAAGCACTTATGACTATTTGGTGGAAAATCATGAGAAGGCAAGTGACAGAGTATTTTTATGGAATTTTATCTTTGTTAATTTTTTTTCCATTATTTACCTCATGTTGATATACCAAATATGAATCTTATACGGAAGTGAATTGAATAAAATCCTCGTTGTTAAAATATTATAAAGCGACAAAGTTTAATTGAATTAATTGCTGTATTTTTTCATTGCAAATTCTATATACCTTTAAATCTTTTAAATATATGAGTTTGCTTCCCCATTACAGTATTTCCTCTAGACTTCGTAAATTACAAGTCCATGTTTCTTAGACCCTTTTTACTGAAAACGGATCCCTGTTAAAAGTAAGAATTTGCGAGCTCTTTATCATTCTATTGATATTCACTCTTAGAATATTGTTTATCTATTTATAGACGAAACAAAGTTTGATTTTTTTGGCTACATAAATCAACTGGCGCACTTTTATTTTCTACGCTGTACAATTATGCTAACTATAACTTATATTTTGCTTCTCTCTACGATTTTTAGCGTATTTGACATGTTATTAGACATAAACAGAAAGCACTGTGATGATGACCTGCAAGAGTTAAGGTCGTGAAATCAGAAAGTCAGAATCACTGTGATGATGACAACTATTTTTTTATACTTACTTACTATTTTTTATTCTGATATTTTCAAATTATATAGGAAAGCTCCATCCAAATCTCTTTTCTCAAATTCTTCTCTCAAATTTTAGTTCTTGAGAAATATAGTATTAAAATTTATATTTTGAATTTTCAAATTTTTATTTGTAGATTTTTAATTAAATATAGCTGTGAAGATATTTTAAAGCATGATTGATCAACAACATTTAGCATAGGGACAGAGTATGTTGAATGTACTTTATGTGAAATTAAAATCTGTACATTCTAAATTGAAGCAGTCAATGTTAAAAGGGGTATGTAACATTTTTATGATTATTATTATAAGTTTTTTTGTGGTTTCTGGAATATCTATCACCGATTATCAAATACCGAGTAATTTTCTAGATTGCTTAAAGAAGAGAATCCAATAGTTTGGAAGCAATTAAAACAATCTTTCCGCAATTGAGGCAGTTATTTATTAATTTTTTTTTTTTTGGATTTTTCTTGAAAGTGCAGATTTATAACATACTCCGTTTTAACACTGACCGTTTCAATTGTCTTTACTATAACTGGATAATTTCAAAATAAGTTTAAAATTTAACGATTATTGCTATTTCATCTGCACAATCTGATCCTTTTGTTTCTTGAATCATGAAGTTGTATCATGTGAATAGTTGATAAAATGGTCAAAGATGGTACTGCTTCCATTTATTTATTTATGTGTGTTAAAATACCTCTTTGTTCGAATGTTGTTTTACATTCTGTCATTGCAAGAAAGTGATAGTTTTTCATCACAAAACTGTGAATCAAAGACTACACGATATCATACACATCAAAACATTTCTGCTTAAAATCTTTCACTAACTATGCACAGAAAATTTGCTCATTATTTGCTGCAATAACAATCAGGAGTTTACTGTATAGAAGGAAAATTAATTTGTTGATTATTGGCAATCGAAATGGGCTATAGGTGGCGTAGAGCAGAACTCTCTACCTATGGCAATACTTCCCATGCTTTCATCATTAGCACGTGGAGAGTCATAGGAGAAGGAAGTATGTTACATTCTGTCTTGATTTTCAAATAGATTAAAAACTTTTAAGTTAGAAAATTATATAGAACTGAAAACTACATTGAAAGTAGTTCTAAAAGAAAGCATAGTAGAAATTTAAAAAAAAATATTTTTGACAGTTAAATGTGAAAAATATTAAGAAAGGGGGAAATATTGTAGTACATCCCTAAACAACTGAGAAGAGGGGAGGGTCAAGACATGGAACTGGTCTTCTCCCCCAGATGGCGCATCCGAGCATTGCGATTGTGAATAACAAATGTTTAGACTGAAATTTTGAATTAATTTCTATAGTATTTTAGTTTATATTAATATAGAATGTGTTTATTTCTAGCTGGTTGCAACTGGGAAAAAGGTCCTTGGACCAGCATTATTTAAATTTGTAATGAAGCACACATTTTATGGACATTTTGTAGCTGGTGAAGATACGAAAACTATTAGACCTGTGTTAGAAAGAATGCAGTCATTTGGTGTAAAGAGTATCCTGGATTACAGTGCAGAGGAAGATATCAGTGAAGCACAGGCAAAGGAGGCTATGAAAAAGTATAAGTTTCTTTCCTTTATTTCAAAACATGTCTTTATGCATTAGTTTCAAAAGTTTTAATAACTAAAAAGTCTCCTAGTTAATAAGAATTTTTCTTTTTAATTTAGTTTTATTAAAACTGTTATTAAATTAATATTTAATCACAAATAATCTCAGATTTTCTTTTTTTCTATTTATGAATTTCCTTTATTGCATTTAAAACATTTTAATAAAATTTGTTTGGCTTTTTAAAGGCTTAATGTGTTACATAAAAGCATTTAAATCCATGAAATATTTAATGTCTGAAATACTTTATTCACAAATAAAATTTTAATATCAAATATGCTAATTAGTGAAAGAATAACAAAAATAAAACTGTATTTTGCTGTGATATATTCATGTGGTTTTATTGTAAAAATAATTTCAATTCTGAGCAATTATTAGAATATTTTCATTAATCAAAAATATTAAATAAATTGAGAAATTATATATTTTTTTAAAACTTTTTTTTTAAAAAAAGATTTAATCAAGTGCAGATTAGTTCCGAGCAAGATAATCCAGACTCAGTAACAATAAAACAAACGATCTTTAAGCTTGAACTTATAAAAATGAGACTAAAGCTTATAATTTTTATTGTTAACACTTTATTGTTGATATATTTAAGCTTCTATTGTTCACTTCTATTTTACATTCATGATATTTCAAAAATGTTTTTTTTAAAAAGTGTTTACACTCATCTAATAGTTAATTAGCGGAAATTGCATATTATATAGAAATCTCTTATACATAGTGTTTTAGCATTACCTACTAAAATTCAGAATAATTTTTATTTTGCTAAATTTTATTGTACAAATGAAATAAAATTTTAAATTCTTATTGGAATTTAATTTCTTTCTCTTACAGAGCAAAGCTTTCAAGTCGGGGAAAGCCTCAAAGCGGTAAGAAACTTTAGTTTTGCACTAAAAAATTTTTATTTTATTAATCATGTTTATAAGTCAATCTGTTATTAATATCAAAAGATATTTAAAAAATATTTATCACTGGTTTAATTACTTTTATACTTTCAATTACTCAGTATAATTTATTCTCCCTGTGTACATAAGGGCATATACTATTTTTAATTCCTGAGTTACTTTATTTTGAAAAAAATGTTTTAACAGTATTTCCAATATAATTCTATAAATGCAACACTAGGCAACTCATAATAATTTGAGTTCAATATTTAGGCAATTTAAATTAGGTACTGTAGCAAATGAAAAAATAATCAGTATCAATTAATTAATATTCCTTCATAGAAATATTTATTTAAAATTTGCAATCAAGTTCATGACTTCTTTAATGAAATATTTTAAGGTAGAGTTTCAATAATTTTGAAATGGAAACACTGTGAAGATGCATCTTAGCATTTGTGTTCAAAAAAATTTTCTGGGTGAATTTTTAATTAAAATAATATTAGATGGAAATCCTGTATCTTTCAATTATTCAAACCATAGGTTTTAAGAACTGCATTAGAATTCATAAAAAATGGGAGGTTCTGAACACACAGAAATTAGAAATATAAGGACGAAAGCTGAAAATAAAAGACAAATAAGGCAACTTCAAACTCTGATATTAAATTTATAGCTCTATTATGATAAAATGAATGAAATTTTTTTTATTTATTATTAAACTCTTATTACTAAAACTTACTTTTGCTATTTTATATGCCACCCATGTCATATTTTTACCCTTTCCCCATTACATTATTTTCAAGTATTTGTTAATTATTATTAATATAAAATATATTATATTTGCCTTATTATTAACTTTGTTAATTATGAATTAATATTTGTATAAATTCAAATAATACATTTAGGGGATTAAAAAAACACAAGTAATCAATGGCTTGATATTCAAAGGATTAAAAAACAATAAGAAATGTATATTCCATTAACTTAATAGTATTATTATAATTTGTAGACAGTTAAATAATAATATTAATTTAATAATAATGAACTATAACAATTTAATATTGCAAGCAAGGGGTGGGGTGAGCAACCACTCATATCACTCAATCAACCACTCATATTACTGAAATAAATTTTAAATGTTGAGTGTTTATTTTGCATGTTAAGTGGAGTTGTAAAGTAATATAAAAGCATATTTAAAGTGTTCATTTCTTCATTTTCTTTATTATGTTTGCATAATTACGGAACGAAAGTGGGTATTTTTGAATTGTTTATTATTGAAAACATTAATTAGTAATAGTTAAATACTATGAAGTACTTTGAAATAGATTAGTTAATTTCAATTAAGGGCTTAAAATGCAAGTCTTTAATCATGAAAACTTGCAGTAGGGAGAGGGTTAATATAAAGGTTATTATATATTATTGTAATAGAGTTATTAACCCACAGAAAGGTGCATCAGCACCTTCTTGTGGGTTAATAACTCTATTATATTATTTCTGATTTCAATAATATTAACTTTTAACCCTCCAAGTGTTGAACCTCTGGGTAAAATTGTCCAGAAATTTTCGTGCTATGTACTATTTTCCTTTTATGGAGAAATTGTTTTGTTTTTTTTTTTCATACAGGAAAGCCTGCACATGAAAGTTCGATAAAAGCCAGGAGTAATGCTAATAGGGTAAAAGGAAGAAGAAAAAAAATTTATGACAAATTCATATTGAAGTATTGAGTCAACTTCCATTAGCACTTCATTGATTACATGTGCTTTTTTACAATGTTATGATTAGAAATGTACCTAAATGTACTAAAAATTGTAAAAATGTAATTTTGAAAATTAGATTTACATTTTGTGTTTTAGGAGAGATGAAAAAATATCAACCTTATGAAGAGTTTGCTGATAGAAGAAAATATGCTGCGAAAGCGAGGACATATTTTTATTTAAGTGAAGCACAATGTGAAAAAAATATGGAAATTTTCCTAAAATCTATTGATGCTGTGGCAGGTATATATTTCCTTCTGTTTTAATCTTCTCCAATATTAGAGGAGTTATATATAGCTTTTGAATTTAAAATATGTTCTCTTTTGTCCTCAAAACAAACATTAATTTGAAAGACTGCATAACTAGTAAATACTACATAATGTAAGAAAATTTACAACTATTTTTCAAAATAATTTCAATAAATTTTGTATACACATTATTTTAAAATGCAAATGTACTAATTCATGCTGTTTTATGATTTAAATATCTTAACATTTTTTTTCTTTGATGTTTTTTATTTCTATTATGTTCATTATGTATATAATTTGTGTAGTTTAAGGATTTATTTTAATATTAAAGATTTAAGTAACTTATACATTAAAATTATGCAGTGTAAAGAATTATAGAGAAATTTAAAAACCTGCATTTATGCATTTTATTGAAGAAAACAAAGCATGCAAAACTTTAATTTTTATTTAATTCATAAGTATCATATATCATACCTGCGAACTTTTGCTCTATCAGAGAATAATTAAGTGGCAGTGAAATTAAAAATAAAAAATCAATTGTTGTGAAAAACATTTTTATATATTTTGCTAAGCTTGCACATCATCTTGCAATAATCAAAGACTCAGATTCATATTTATTTTTTTCATATGTAGTGGTGATTAAAAATCTTCTAAATTAATGAGATAGAAGAGCTTAAATTTTGCTATCACTTTAATTATGAAAATAAAATCTTTCGGAAAATCCAGAAAAATAGGCATTTATGATGTAAACGTTGTTTTGGAATTCTTAAGACAAATTTATATATTTTCTTATTGCCCTAATGAATAATTAAGTAATTATTACACATGAAAACAAAATGTATTGCGGCCGCAAAGTTTTTATAGGCAAAAGTAAATTTTTTATTTTATTTTTAGAGTATACTACTTAAATATATTATTTGCTAACTATAAGAATTATATACTAATACCAATATTTGATTTGCTAAATTAGATTAAAGCCTCATAAATGTATTTAATTTACTTGTAATTTCTTTCCACATTTTATGCTTTTATTTATTAAATTTGCTTGATTTTTAAATAAAACAAGGGGAAAATTATAAAAACAAATGCTTAACACATTTTAAATATTTTTATTTAAAATGTTGATTACTATTTTGTTTGATTATTATTTTAATTTTATGATTCACTTCCTCGTTTCTTAATTTAATTTGTTTATTTTTCATTGACTGCATGTGCTACGATGCATGCAATTATACCAATATTTTTTTATAAAATCAAATACATAACAAGTACAATTACTAAATGTTTTCTAAAGAAATAAATGTCAGAAATAGAATTTTTAATTAGGTCTTTGAAATTTATCTTATTGAATTATTTGGTTTTTATACATTGTTTGTATTTCATATAACTATGATTATGATTCAAAAAATATGATTTGAAGTGTTTCATACCAATTTTATCAACTGTATATATATATATATATATATTTTTGCTGGTTGTATTTAGTATTTTACAATTAGTGCAATTTAACCGCCTCTCCACGCAAAAATACATGTTTTTCATCTAAATTTGAGGAAACACTTAATTAGCATTTTACGGTAGATTACTTTTTCAAAACTGTACTTTTAGGATTCAATTAGCTTCATTTTGATTTTACATGCTTGTTTAGAGGTAAGACTAGATTAATTAATCAATTTTTTAACTAGTTCACCATAACCCCATATCACGAAGGTAGTGTAAACAAAAATAACTGGTATTAAAAATAATATAATTAAAATGTATTTAACCAAATTAGACAATTTATCATACAAATGAAAATAAATGTTAAATTTTAAAAAAATTACTAAATTTGATAAAAAGGCAGTTAACTAAACTCAATTTATAAAAATTATCCACCCTAGCCTCTCTCTCTCCTATACATAAATATACAATATTATACTTATATTATTTTAATAAGCTATATAATACTTTTATATTGTTATTGTAAAAAACTTTTACTCAGTTTTTTATCTGATGCACCTTATTGCTTCAAATTTTCTAAGTTTCATAATAATTGAATTGAATTAAATATATAATGATGTAATAGAATAAGAATTAACTGTATTATTTCTTTGTTAAGCTAAAAATAAATTTTGAAAAAAATACTTCATACTCAAGATAACAAAATCATATAGCGTTTGAAACTAATATGTGTCATTAAAAAATAAAAAGGTGGAAAAGAATAAAAAATTACCACGAGATTTTAACATTGTGTAACCCATTTTTTAATACAATTTTTAATGTAAGAAGAATTTAATTTAAAGTGACACTTTGTTTTTTCTCAGAAGTTTCAAAAAATTTATTTTTATTTAAAAAAAATTCAATTTCCAGCAATTTTTGAGGAAATTTAAAAATTTAATAACTTTTTTATTTTTTATTATTCGCTTTTTACTGATAGATAACCATATCTTTAAAAATATATTGTTACTGTTATAATAATGCATTTTGTATTTTTTTTCAGGAAATACTAAAGCAACAGGATTTGCAGCTATTAAACTAACTGCTTTAGGTCGACCTCAGCTGCTGGTATGGAATTTTTTTTTCTTACTCACATTGTGTACCATGAGTTAACTAGTATTATGTTTTGCTGGTGACTTAATACTTACTTAACACTTTAGTTGCCAAATTCTTTTTTGATCAACTAGTTTTTTTTTTTTGGTAATAATAATATAATAATTTTGGTAATATAAATTTGGTATAAATAAAATAGATTTAGTTCTCTATAATTTTTTATTTTTTGCTAACTAATTGTACTATTGTTTCTTGCTTTCTTTCTCCTTCTTTAAACTTTTTTTATGTTTACATTTTATTTCAAACATATATCCAAATGTGACCTATGTTTTTTTGTGATTTTAGTTTCGGAATTTTTTTTTTTAAATAAATGAGGAAAGTAAAATATGAAAATTTTTAGACAAATCACTATTTAATATGCAGAATAATTTATTGATTGTAAAAAATATCACTTTTCAGAAAATTCGTTTGATTGTTATTTTAATAATGTAACTACATTTGCAAAATTCATTCTCATTAATCATATTTTTTCTTAACTTTAAATGTTCACATTTAAAAAAATAATAGAGAAAATGTTGATAATAAAAGAAATATCTATATTTTTATAATCTATTTTTATTTTACTGTTTGATAAAATTAAGTGTAAATCTTTTTTTTCCCATAATTGAAGACTTTAGTAGTAAATGGTTTAAGTNAATTCAAATTTGTTTTAATAACTTAGTATTTACTAAAAAGATGTAAATTTTTTTTTTTAAAAAAAGTTGTTATATGGATTTGAATGACTGTTTTGAATTCTTAGAATTTTGTGCATTTGCAATGTATCTAAGTTAGTAGCGAGCGAAGCAAACTTTGTAAGATTGCGTAGCAATTTTCGGGGATTGGCGAGCGTTAGCGAGCAGGGGGCGCAGCCCACTAGTAATAATATAATAATTTTGGTAATATAAATTTGGTATGAATAAAATATATTTAGTTCTCTATAATTTTTTTTTTTTGTTTCTTGCTTTCTTTCTCCTTCTTTAAACTATTTTTATGTTTACATTTTATTTCAAACATATATCCAAACGTGACCTATGTTTTTTTGTGATTTCAGTTTCGGAATTTTTTTAGTTTTTAAATAAATGAGGAAAGTAAAATATGAAAATTTTTAAACAAATCACTATTTAATGTGCAGAATAATTTATTGATTGTAAAAAGTATCACTTTTCAGAAAATTCGTTTGAGTGTTATTTTAATAATGTAACTACATTTGCAAAATTCATTCTCATTAATCATTTTTTTTTTAACTTTAAATGTTCACATTTAAAAAATAATAGAGAAAATGTTGATAATAAAAGAAATATCTATATTTTTATAATCTATTTTTATTTTACTGTTTGATAAAATTAAGTTTAAATCTATTTTTCCCCATAATTGAAGACTTTAGTAGTGAATGGTATAAGTGCTATTTTTGAAGAAAAATTTTTTTAATCTTATTTAACTATAAAACATTCGTTTATTTTTTAAAATCTTTCAATTAAGATATTAGCGGATAAAGTATTCAACTCAGAGCCGGCACTAAGGACTTCAAATTATTAGCCAGTAAATTAGCCAAATGTCAAAATTCTTAGTCAAAGGTGAATCTTAACAATTTTTTGATTGATTTTTCCCTATAGTAAATTTCAAATCTAAATACAAATTTACAAAAAATTGAATTGTTTCATAAAATGAAAATTTATTTTAAGAGTCAGTTTGCCTTTAAGGCGAAGTAAATGAGCAATGAATGGGAGAGAGGACGAAAAATGTAGATGTTGTTTTATCATCTTTAAGGAAAAGAAATTGGAGTAGGTTGGGGTTAATTTTTGAGAACTTCTAAGACTAGAGCAGTAATATAAGGATAAACCTGAAGCAACATTATGTTATTGTCCCATTATTGTATATGTTATTGTTATGGAAAACATATTTTCTGAAAAAATATTTGGATAATAGTATGCATCTTGCTACCACTTAATCTGTTTTATTGACACAAACGGTAAGAAAAACTTTATCACTCAAAATCGCGTGATTCGCAAATGAACGTGGTGATGTGTATTTTACCATAGTTAGTTTCATGCTTACATAATCTCACTTGTTGCTTGCATTATCTAGAGAATGGCTTGTAGTCTATATTCTAGACTTAATATAATTCTAATTGGTTATGAGGCTTATCTAATGGAAGTAACTGCAATCAAATAAAAAGCACAAGATTTGTTCAGAAAAATTCCTTTTGTCCTTTTTTTCGGATCGAGGAGAATTTACATTTTTCTTTTCAGTTGATTTTTATTCCAATACTTTCGCCAAAACAAAATTTTTTTACCAAATTTACGTTTTAATCATAGTTGACCAGATGTTGAATACTTAGCGCGTGTCTTGCAACGCTTTTTGGAATGGAAGATTGATCCAAGTATTTTTGGCAATAAACAGTCTGTGGTTAGCCTTAAAAACCTTGAATTTTCACTGCAAATTAAAATCCAAGAATGTGAATGCCATAACGCAAGCACCTTGAATGACTGTTTGATTTTCATAGATTTTGACAATTGAAAGCAAGAACAGAAGACTCGACATAGTTTTCATTTCCCACTGTAAACATATAAACTTTAAAACTCATTTACCTCAATTCACTTAAATATCTCATGAATCCTTCATCCACTCAGATTTTCAATTATATTATATATTAAATTTTGTTATAATAACTTATAAAATGGAAAAATTAAGATTTTTGGATTATTGAAAGTTAAAAAATGCCTTTTATTATATTAGCTGTTATGTTTTATATGAACAGTTTGATTTGTGCAAAATAACTTTAAAATGGTTTGTAGACTTGATATAATATATCAAATATTTTAGCATGTGTGTAATATTTTTTATGCATTTTCATCGATTTAAAATGTTATTTTCTTTTACTGTTATTTCATTGCATAATTTTTTATTTATCATCATTATTTCATAAGTAATGAAAATATTTTATTATATGAATTCTGTAGATGCAGTTATCAGAAGTAATTGCACGCACAAGAAAATATTTTAAAGAAGTCACTGGTGCAAGTGAACATATTGTTGCTGAAGCTGTCTCTCCCACAGCGATTGCTCATAAATTAGAGTATCACAATATTAAGACAGATAACGAAGAAGTAAAAAAATGGCTGGCTAATATGGATTATGATAAAAAAGGGTATGATAATTCTTATCATAATTCTTATTTATTTTCTAATCAGATAACTATTATTTATAATGTTTATATGTTGAATTTTAGTTCCTCGTGTTAATGTTATTAATTATATTTTATTATCAATATTTCCTAATGTAATTTTTATCTTCAATTCTTTCTCTTAACTATCACAATTTTTTTAATTAAAAATGAACACTGCATTCTTATTGGCTGACTCAATTATTTATTTTTCTGGAAGTTGACTTCTGAAATGCGCCTCACTATCAATAATAATAAAAAATATGTATCTGTATCAAAACTAAGGTTTAAATTTAATCATTCTTTATTTAAAAATAGAAAAATGCAAAAAAAAAATTCTAAGTATTGAATTGATTGATTTTTTTAAATATATTTTTTCAGTAAACATAAATATTTCAAAATTCAACTATAAAATATCTTGCATTGTCATCCATGAGTACCCATAAGTCACATGGGGTGATGCATGGTATAAATTTATCAATTATTATGTTACTGAATATTTTTTTTTCATTCATAAAATGTTTCTTTAATATTTATAGTTTAATGAACATGTTTTCATGGAGTGGTCTTGTAGATTTGAATTATGTAATGTCTGACCTTTTTAAAGTACCTAACCTCCAAGTAAGTTTTTTTAAATCACATCTTTTATAAAGTTTGTTCAGATTGTAAAAGTTAGTTTAAAATTTAACTTATTATCAATCTTTAATTAGCATCAAGGGTGATCAACTCTGGATGATCCACATGCAATTTTTTTGGTACAAATAAGTTTATATAAATAATTTTAATAAAATGAAAACTGTATTTTTAATAAATGTCTTAAACTATAATATGAAAGAAAAAAATAAATAATTTTTAAAAACTTTTTTATTAGAATCGAAATATTAAATAAGCAAATTATTTCAGACTATTGATTAGGATTTTCAAACAGTTCAGAGTTAATAAACTCAAAGTAGCCTACAGACAATTCAATAAAGTAGCATTTCTTTCCTTAGTATATAATCTCAGATTTAAAGAAAGAAAATTATGAATACTTTGTAAAAATCGCTATTTTTTTATAATTTATTTGGAGTGTTTTGTTTAGAAAACCTTGTTTATAATTTGTTATTCATCTGCTGCCTGTTAGCCACTATATATACAAAGAGTACTCATAATTTATAGTTTAGTTTAAATCAAACTTTAATTCTCAAATCAAACTCTTTCTCGACATTCAGTCAGGAAACTTTTACCAAGATATGTTCAAATTTTGTTTAAACTTTCTGGTTGTCTTCAGAGCCTTTAATATATTATTTAAATGCCTTTTTGCTTTAATTTGTGGAATATTTCTTTTCTTTTTTCATTTATTGTTTTAATTTTTTTATTAACATTTTATTAAATCTTTATTCGAAATTTCCATACTACATTTGAATTGTGACATTTTGTCATGAAAATGATTTATTTATTTATTTTAAATGGAGATTTTTAATCAATTCAAAAATACCCCCTAGGAATTTTATTCATTTAAAGGTAAGTTTATATTTTATTCAATTATGCATGCAAAGGCTAAAATTGAATTTGATTTTAGATGCCAATTTATTTCATAAATTCGTTCTCCCTATGATTCTTTATAACTATTATATTGTTATATTTATTACAAAAACAGTATTATTAAAAATTAAAAAATACTAAATTTTAAAAGCAGTGACTCTAGACATAAGATAAAGAAAATGAAACAAATTTGTTTTGATTCAACAAAACAGTTAACAAAGTTTCAGCAGGTTACAACTGAAAATTTGCACTGATTTAAATACTTTTACATTAAATATATATGATTCAAATATATGAATGCTTTAAAAAAAAGAAGTTCAAATTATGTTAAGAAATAAATAAAATGAAATAAGTAATTCTTAAGTCAGTATCATTTTTATTAAAATTTGGTTGTAAAGAAATTTTGCATTAAGATAAAGTTTAAAAGTGAAGTGTTTTTTCTTATAAAAATGCAGCCCAACATTTTAAGTTTGAACTTTATTATTGGAAATGGCTTAAAAGTTTTGATTTGGAAAAAAAATATGTAATGATAATGAGAAAAAAAAATTTATTTGGTATAATTGATCAGTTTTTTTTTATTATTTATTTCTAATATATAAGGTAATCATATTATGAGAAATAGAAAAAAAGAGAAAAAAGCAGAGATTAAAGCCCTTGTAAAACATTGTTAAAAAATACTTACATAACGTTTTCAGATAATTCCTGGATATCAATCTTAATTGCATTTGTAAATACATGTTAATACTTGAAAACTCTTAAAACTTAAAAACCATTTGTTCTATTAACTCGTGTGTAGTCTCAATTCATTTACCATATAAGAATACATGGGAAGCAATTATTACTTGTTTAAATATTAATATCAGATGCATAAATATGTATTAGTACAAATATATACGTTTTGTACATAAAACCCTTATAACTTCTATAAGTCCAATCGTCTCGAGATTGGCCTCATTCAAGTCAGTGTTAATGTGGCAATTCCAAAATTCATTCAATTAGTGAACTTCACTTGCCTGTCAAGAAGAAATGCAATCCTGCAAGAAGAAATGTAAAAAACTGAAAAAGTCTAACTTTACTGGACTATGAAGAGATGTTATAAGAGAATCACATTCTTATTATTTTCTTCCAAATTTAATAGATTTTCTATTTCAGGTGGAAAATCAAATTTCGTTTTAAAATTATTAATACATTACTAAGTTTTGAATATTTATGCATATTTATAAGATATCTATAAAACATAAGTAATAGAACCCAACTTTAAATTCAACCTCACATCAATTTGTCAATTTCTGAACACCCCATCAGATAGGAGCAGGTAGGTACAAATTTTTCATATACCTACCTGCTTGCAAGTAACCGTCATTTATTGCGTTTTAGTGATTTAATTTTTATTTCTTATTTTAGAGTGGGCAAATGGAACCAATAATTGCTGCCCTTTGTCCTGATGAAGAAGAAATGTTTAAAAATATGATGAGGAGAATGCACAATATTGCTCGGGTATTATTTACTGTTTTGTTCTTTATTAATGTAATTTATTTTATATTTTGATTTTGTTTATTCTGTAAAATAAATTATTTTAATTTTTGCATGATTATATAAATAATTTTATTGAAAACTTTTGATATTGAGATACATAAAGTTGTGCACTATTATTTTTTTTTCCACTTTTTAGTCAAAAATTATTGTATCCGTTTTAGCTGTATGAGTGTAGTTTTAGGTTAGTACTAAGTTCTTGCTAAATGAAAAGAATTTTCCTTGTGTGAAGTGCTTGATAATAAATTGTGAAAGTTTTTTTTTATCTCACACTATCACAATAAGTAATTTTAATTGCAAGTTTTTAACCATTTTCCAAATAAAAATAAAGCATTCTCAAATATAAAGTGATCATTTGTATCTATAAAATTTCAAGAAGGTGAACACACCTTTAAATAAGTGTCACACTTTATGTAAATATTTTTTTATAGAAAACGTTACTGAGATTTATATTGTTTAATTTTCAAGTATATAAATTATTTCTTATGCTGATCCTTTCTCTGTAATAAAATATAATTCACTTTATTATATACATTTATAATGAAGAATTTGGTCTGTCAAAATGAAAAGTTTCACAATTTTTAAGTCAATTTCACAGTTCAGAGTTGAAATTTCAAACTAAATATGTATAATGTGCAAAGTATTAATTAAACTAAAAGATGCTTTTTTGAAATTATATTTTATTCATTCATTAGTTTTAATCTAAAATGCTTTTGATGTCACATTACCAATGAAACTTCTTTTGGGGAGTTTACAAAGAATAGCTGAAACAAGCCAAACTATAAGCTGGGCAGAATTGTTGCTGACTCTTATTTAAACAAACAAATAGAGCCATTTTTAAATTTTAAATAACATTCTTCATTTATGCAGATTACATAATGTAGTGTAAGTTACATGTGTTTATATATCAGTGTGTTTTTTTTATTGTGCTCATGCCCAAGAAAATTAAAAAATAAACCATAAAACTAATATATTTAATCAAGAGGAACGCGTGTGAAGTTTTTTATTATGTCCTATAAGAAAAGTCTTAATATTATTGTGATTCTAAGTTGTATTAGAATTAACATTAATTATTCATTTTTCAAATTATTGTTAATTATTCATTTTTCAAATTATTGTTAATTATTCATTTTTCAAATTATTCTTAATTTTGAAATTATTATTGACTGAAAGTTGAAATAATTTCTACTTTCACATGTCTTTTAAATTTCTTCTGTTTAATATTTCATATTACACATATATTTAAAATGTACTTTTTCCAAATTATAGATCGCAAGAGAAAAAGATGTTCGTGTTATGATCGATGCTGAACAATCTTATTTTCAACCAGCAATAAATAGGATAACAATGGAATTGATGCGAAAGTACAACAAAAAGAAAGCAATTATATTCAATACTTATCAGTGCTATTTAAAAGTATGATTTTTTTATATCAATACTTTATTAGTGTTTTTGTGGGCATATTGCTTTAAAAAATATCTTCAAGGCTTAAAAAATGAGTTTTAATTTATTTTGTACTATATTTTATTTTACATATTTATATCAAGTTAATACTTTATTTTAAATATTTATATCAAGTTAATTACAATAATTACTGATAGATAGGCCATTGCTATCTGTATTTAAAAGGTAAATTTTCAAGCCAGCAAGGCCTGCATGATATTTTTTTTCTCTACTAGCTTCACCCAAAGATTTTGTGATCACCATCGATTTATGCAAAAGTAAACTTTTACAAAATATTATCTGGAATGGCAACCAATATCATACTGTTTGCTCTGAAAATAATATTTTTTTTTCTAATTTTTAACTAATATTATTTTAGTAAAATATGGTGAGATAAAGAAACCCTTTGATTAATGATGTCTTTAAAACATCACTTAAGACGTCTGCACATCTGTCCATCTACCAATTTGAAATAAATTACAGTTTGTATCTTGCAAATAATTGAATCAGAGTGGTATATATGTTTCTCTGTTTCCCTTATTGATATTTTCTCTGTAAACATTTTCAAATTGTTGCTAAATCACAAAATAGCCTATTTCATTTCATACGTTGATCCAATGTCTGCAATGACTTTCTTTTAAATTACTTTTTCATACATTTGTTAGCTCTGATTACATTGTCTTCAACTGACATTAATTTCCTGATTTCAATAAATATTTGCTGACTGGTATATAATTTGTCATCAGCTTTGTAAGGACAATCAAGAAAAGTCTAAAAGCAGAATTCATTTCAAGCTTGGTTTAAGAGACTCTCTCTCCCTTTTGGCTAAAAAATTTCCTTGACTTTCAAGCCCTGATAAAAAAAGTATTTATTTATTCTCATAAAAATGCGCTCCAGCATTAAATAATCATGCCATAGATCAAGAAACTGCTAAAGTACGCCGTTGTTGAAATTCTATTTATTGTGCTTGAAAATCCTTAATTTTCTTCAATTGTGTCTAAAAGCTATTGTAACAAAAAATGGAATTGTGGCATTAGCAACGATGCAGCCTATATGATGATTATGGAAATTTTCAGTGCTGTTACGGTGCAGAATTTTTGACAGAAATTATTGTAAATGCGTTTGTTCATATAAAGAAAAAAATGACAATTGTTATTTATTAAAATATTAGTTTATTTTTGTAGGAGTTAACTCGTATGTAGTCTCAATTCATTTACCATATAAGAATACATGGGAAGNGCATTAGCAAAATCATGAAACTTCAACATCTATGCATCAACCTGTTATTTGTTTGATATGGCTGGACTGGTTGATGATTATTTAGTACATCTTGTGTATTGTTAGTTTTTCTAAAAATAAACTTATTTTTAAAAAAAAAACTCTTGAAAGATTGTAGCACATAGTTATCAAAAAAATAGTTAAGTTTAGTTGTAACTATCATTCTTTATATTTTAAAAAATGGCCACAATTTTGACTTAAAAATTTTTGCTTGGTACCTAGTTAACTAAAAACAGCTTTATATAGTAAAACCTTTTGGGCGCGACCACTCTCCATTCCACAGTAAAATGGTCGTTGGTGGAGGTTGGTCATTCTTAGAGGTTACCTCCAGTGACTTCAAAATTGTTATCAAAGGTACATGATTTTTCGCAAATGATTTTAATTTTAGTCGCTGTCATTTTCTTGGTGTGTAAATTCCACTTCCATTGGTGTCATGAAAAGATGAATCTATCAATAAAATTTAGCATCTATTAATGATCCCAACTGATATAACTATGTGTAAAAACAAATTAACCAATTATGAATGATAAAGCTATTTTAAATAAATAAATAATAATGTTTTTGTTTAAGTTTGCATTTAATTTTATATCATAAAAATTAGTTAGCTTTAAAAGAGAAGAAGAGGTTTGTTTGTGTGACATGCTTGTTTTTTCTAAAATAACTTTTTTTCTAATTTTGCTTTCAACTCTAAAGGTAAATCATTGGCAGCATTGTCTTTAGTGCACTCTGATTGCAACATGAGGTTGTATCGTCAAAAAGAGCTCTCTAAATAAGACTCTCATACAAATATTTTGAATAAGTTTAAATCTACTTATTTGTTTTGTTAAATTTTTTCTTTTGATATTTTTTCATGTTAATTTGACCTTTTCCACATTTCGCGCAGCTGTTTGCCTGATCGCTGGGAGAGGTTTTAATGGTCTCTCCTAAGGATTTTCTTCAACACAAAGTCTATGAATAAAATTCTGTGCCTCCCTGAAGTGGTCTTAAATATAGGTGTTCGGTACATAGAGGTGATTTCTCCTTGAGGTTTCACTGTACTAGTTTAAAAATTATTTTTATATATTTTTTCAAACATCGTACTTATGTAGTTAGTTTTATCCCCATTTTAAAGTTAGACCTTTTATTGCGCATAATGTAATTTTATTTTGAATTTTTATTATATTTTAAGAAATTTTCCTTTTCTTTCATAAAATGAAAAAATAAATAAATTTAGGAACGAGTTAGAGCCAAAGAGGTCGGTTATGAAGACCCCATTAATGAAACTTATGAAGCTACTACAGAAATGTATCACAAGACATTGAATGAAGTACTGAGACAAATTCTTGAAGATATTCAAAATAATGATGAAAAGAAAATTGGTGTCATGGTGGCATCTCATAATGAAGATACTGTTAGATATACTGTGCAAAAGTGTGTATTATTTTTTTTTTTTATCTTTATGCATTCAATACTAAAATTTAAGTATATATTTGATTAATAGAAAGAAAATTCTCATTTTTTTATGATAAAAAATACAAATTTAAGTAAATTAAATGCAGGCTCCAAACAGAAATTTTGTTTTAGTTAAACAAATAGTTAATTTGTGCTAAGTTGGCTTTTCTTATAATTCAATGATTTAAAAAATTGTAGTTTAAACAATCAAACAAAATAACTTTTTTTAATAAAATTGGGAAAAGTTTTTTTTTTGATTTGTAGTACTTAAAAATTGGTAATGGTTGCAATTGGTAATAATGCATAAATAAAATAATGTTATCTTGCTAAAAGGGATTTTTTTTTGGGGGGGGGGGGCGCAATATCTGTTAGTAATGAATTTCTTGGGTACTTACAACTGTAATTGATTTTATCTTTTTTAAGTTAGTGAAAATTAGAAAACTATTAGTATCTATTCAAAAAATAGAAGAAGAAAAAAAAACATATAGGAACTATGGTGTAAAAGGCATATATTTTGCAATACCATCTAACTTAACTAAACTTTGTGTAAAACACTATTTTATGTCAAATAATATCAGCTATATTTCCTGACCCAGCTTTTTGTGTTCATGGAGTTTCATGCTCCAGAATTTTGTAACCAACGACATGACCGAGGCAATGTGGTTAGTCTGTCTTTACTTAGCAAGCTATTACCCATATGGATGCTGGTTTGGTAAGGCTTCAATGCATTAACTATGAATTCATCACGGCTCTTATTTATATATTATTTAATTTTTTATTCTTGTTTGTTTTAATTCTCTTTAGTTTAATTTTGATTTATTTATTTTAATTTGTTTATCAGAATGGAAGAATTAGGTATAAGACCTGAGCACAAAGTAGTCTGTTTTGGACAACTTCTTGGAATGTGTGATCAAGTTAGCTTCTTACTTGGTGAGTTTACTTTTAATATAACTTTCAATTCAATGTTTTGTTTTAATACCATGGAAATTGGAATATACGAACATGTGCAATACTGTTATGCATTGTAAAATTTAAGATATAAAAGTTAAATATAGTTAGACTTTTCTTTTTTTTTTTAACATTATGATACTTTTAACATATTTTGCAAGATTTGGATATATTAATTCCTTGCACTTATTTTCACATTATTATTATATTGTGCTTATAATAATATCAGTATGTCTATGTTTTTATGTAATTAATTTACAATTTAGAAAGTATTAAATAATGTTGAGACATGCAAAGACTAATTTATTATTTCAATTAACTCAATTAACTCCACGAATCTATATTTCATTAAAATTATAATATTTTACCGGTTGTGTAAGTTATCTGAAAGTACCTACAAAAATTTATGGTTACAAAACAATTAATTTATTTATTATTTTCAAAAATAAGTAAATTAGTTTGTTTAAATTGACATATTATGGAGCAGTGTTTTCCGATCTATTTTCATCCATTTCCTAGTTTCCAATTTTGATAGATTTCATACTCCCTTCAAAAATACACAATATTTATTCAAAATTTATTACTTCATAACATGGTTTAAAAATTTAACAACAAAAGCAATAGAAATTTTTAATCTCCCAATGCTTTTATTTTTTTTAATTAAATTAATCATTTTAGTGTGTGATAAAATATTTCCATTGCTATTAGGAAAAAGCGCAACTATTGCTAACCAGTGTGTTATTAATCACTTATTGTTGATTAAAATGCCCATAATTTTTTTTGTTGCTCATTTTTTGTTATTTGGTATAGCATTTGCAAAAGAGCAGATTACAAGTCACTTTTAACTTCCAATATATTTCTTAAAGTCATTTTCATTAGTAACCTTACTGAAAAGCCTTTTTTGCACCGATAAGCTGACACAAATGTAAAACATAGCCATGAAAACTCTTACTGACACTTATATATCTAACTTGCATAATTACATGACTGATTTCTCTTTAAATATATTTTTTGTCCTGGTATAATTTTCCAGTTCAAGAAATTCATCTTGCAAAATACGAAGAACTTTATCAGTGAAGAAACTAAATAGATTTAGAACTGAATTTAATATTTACTCAAAGGGTTCAGGAAAGCTGTTCCTAAATTCATTTTCTGATGATACAAGGTGATTTCTAGTAGAAACCAAGTGCTATTGGAATAATCTCACTACTTCTTGAAAGTATGAAATCCCCTCTGCTTGGGAACCACTGCTTTCGAGAATAACTTTTGATGAAATAGGTAGCTTAAAACAAAAGATAAACTGTGAATGGTTGACTCTAAAGAATCACTAACTTCTTGAAACCGGAAGAAATTTAAAAAACTTCCAGTGTATTCCTCCGCTTAAGTTATGCTTACGAGGTAGTAACGTGTTAACAGGCTTAATATTCCAAGAAGTTTTATTATTGTGATTTGTGTTTAAATTTACTTGTAATTTTACCATTCATAAGAGTTTTCTGTAATTTATAAATTCTAATAGGTTGTGAGACCAAAATAAGTTTAAGAAAATAAATATATAAAGCATAAATAAAGTGTAAAGTTTGCCATGTTTTGAATGTTATCCCTTATCTGGCTATATTAGGGTACAATATCGCTGTTTGTTATTTTTGGATAGAATGCTAGCATGCTTGTGAAGTATTCCAAATTCATTTGTTATTTGTTTCAGAGAAATTTAAATGGAAAGAACACGTTATAATGTATTCACTACTGGTACAAAAATATTTAATGGCACGCCTTTTCAAGCATAGGTGTAAAAATCAATCGAAAGTAGTGATCCGGGAGTCTTACGGAGAATTTTAACCACTCGCGCCATCTGCACTTAGCTTTAAACGGTCAGCCATCCATTTTCAGACTGTCAGGTTTCCATTTCTTTTTAACATATAAATTTTAGTACTTTACTTTACCTATGTAATTTCAATTTTAAATTTTTCTTGTATGTTATTAAACATGCAATATAAGCAGTCTGTTTAATATATTTATAGGACTATTAAAAAGGTGTTTGTGAAATAAGAATTTTTTAGTACAGTTAATATCATATGTCTTTAAAAATTTTCTTATATAAGAATGTATGTGAGTAAAATTACAAGTAAAATAAATATCTAAATAGTTTAAGCTAACTATTATGTATACTACTCATTTGGTGTGCTCAATATTTGAGTGAGCCTACTGACTCAAATCACAAATGACGCTTGAAGGAACCACTAAGGTTTCTTTTTCAACCATATGGGGTTTCTAGCAAACTTGACAATCAGAAAAAAATCTTGAATAGAATTTTTTATTTCATATTTAAACATATTTGAAATATGTGGGGGAAAGATTGATTTTCTCAATGCACTTTTTATCTTACAATTTTTAATATCCAGAAAAAATGTTGTAAGAACTGGAGTTCGAATCCTGCGGAAAACTCCCCATGTAGTAAATGGTGACTGGTGCACATTAAAACTGTCGGGTCACAAAGTTATCCATGTTTCCATAGCAAATTATGCCTCTGGTGGTAGTAAATTGAAGATTGATCTTGTCTGGTTGAGGTCAAAATTACGATCGCTGACTGTATGAATGGATCCGCTGGTGAAACGGGTGTGGCAGAAGTTGAATTCTTGGCCATAAGATGGTGCCACTGGAAAACAAGAACAATTGCACCCCTCTCCGTAATGACCTATGACAACAACAACTGGAAGAAATTGTTTTTCACTTTCTTCAATAACTTTGTTTACTCTAATCCTTCCTTGTCACAATTTTCTTCCTAATTTGGTGTGTGATAAAGAAATCACATTTAGTAAAAATTGTTCCTTTAATTTTTGCTTATTAATTAAAGAAAGAGTATTTATGTATTAAATATTAGTAAATGTTCATGATAAAGAGAAAATAGTTAATAGAAAAACACCATTTAAATGCATGCATATATAAAATAGTATTCATTGTACTATTTAGCTGATTTATTTTATGATAGATATGGCAAACCTAATCACATTTTTATTAATGTAAATCTTTTTTTATTTTTTAAGTTTATTCTTTTCAAATATTAAAAAAAGTCTAATATTGGTAATAGATGATGTCTTAAAGATTAGTTTAAGTTTGTATGATCGATTTTGTATTAGGTTTAATACCTTAAATACTTATACATTTTAGAAAATTTTGTGAAAAAAAGTTACTCTGTAAATTTGAACATTTAATAAAAATCTGGAAACATGCAAAAATTAAGGAGATTTCATTAGAACTTTGCTAGACACTCTGTTAAATATTTGTGCTCTATAACTGCAACTGCTGAAAAAAACACTTCTTTTAAATATGACATGCATGCTAAGCTCTTGCTTTTAAAATGAACTAATATTCTTTTTAATATTGAAAATTTTATCTGAAATTTAGATTGCTGGTATTTTGTGGTACCCTGCACGTACTTTGACACCCCAGATTTATTTATTTTTAAAATTGTAATTTTATTTCAGGTCAGGCTGGTTATTCTGTTTACAAATATGTCCCGTATGGTCCAATTGATAAAGTTTTGCCTTACCTATCTCGTCGAGCTCTTGAGAATCATTGCCTTTTAAAGAAAGTTGAAAAAGAATTGAGATTAATGAGGACGGAGCTTGGAAGGCGTACATTGCGCGGTCAAATATTCTATACGCCCAAGGGAAACTACTTACCTGCATGATCTCGTATTTTTGCTTTGTCCTAGTTAATATCAGTGTTAAATGTAAATTAATACAATTCTGTCCAGCTATATTGTGCTACACACGTAGACAAAAGATCTTATTTTTTTAGAAAAAAAAATATTCAAAATATAGATTTTATTTATTGTATATTTGTGAAAGATATTGTTTATAATGCAGTGAATCTCATTTTTACTCCTCCTGTGTTCTTAATTTGCAGTATGATATCAGTATTACTATGATTTATTTATTTTTTAAGTTCAAATCGAATATTAAATTTTATTGTGTTTATCTGGGGTTTTTTTTCAAAAAGTATCCCTGTATTTATTAATATAGGCACTATTTGTTTTTCAAAATTTTTAATGCTGTTGAACATAAGTGAGTTTTTATTGGGATTTAGTCACTTGAATTTTAATTGTTTATTGAAAATTACAAGATTTGGAAATAATTTATTCAAAGACTAATGTTGTTTAAACTTATTTTGATTTATTTAATTTTATTCATAATTATAGTTATACACCTTTTTCAATAATTGCACTAATTTAAGCACTAAAAAATGCATGTATGCAAAATTTGTATTTCATTTTTTATTTATATTTTTTGTTGCTTAAAAGTTGCATTTATTTGTTGAATATTTTTTTGCATTTATTTAATGTTGTTACTGTTAAAGGATAGCTAATTTTTTTTTTTTTACATTTTTTAATAAAACATAGTATACATGTTTTAAACTAACTGAAGAATTCCAAATTTCTTTTTTCCCTCAAACTATAATTAAATATTCGTTTGATTTTTCAAACTTATAGTTAATATGTGTGATGTTTTTATAATTATTTCTTATATTTTGTTAAATTTAACCATCAAATATTTTAAGTTCTTATAATATCATTTTATCCCAGAAAATAGAAGAACATATTTGATTTTCTATGTATTTATAGATAAATGTAAACTTTTGAATAATCAAGATTCTCTATGCAAATGATAGTGTGATGTCCTTATAATAAAAAATAAGTGTTGTGATTTATGTTAGAAGCAAAGCCATCAAGTTTCCAAGGAAACATTATTGTTTCTGTTGATTCAGACTTAGTTTATTGAGCAACAATGTGATTTTTATTATGAATGTTTATTTAAAACTACTTAACACATTATAAGACTATGAATTAATTTCTCTTTACTCAGGTTAATTCCTTTTATTTACTGTGAAGTCTCATTGTGTTAAGAATTTCATTAATACATTCTTTATAAGTTCAATAATAAAAAAATTTTATTTGTATGAAATTGAAACCAAACTTAACTAAAATATTGTTAAATACCATCCACACTGTATGCAATTCACGCAGTTCCGATTGCCGCCGAGCAAAAAGAGGAACCTGATTGCTGAGCTTTTCGCCGGAGAATATTTTTCACCAATCAATTTCTTATTCATCCTCAACAGCAATTAGAGGTGCATAAATTGCATGCAGTGAGAATGGTCGTTTAGTTTCATTTTATGAATCTCATTGTTTTTATGTTCAGTTTCATGTATGTATAATATTGAGCTTTTCTCTGTTATTATTACATTCAAGGCGATTTATATAAATTTAGAAATTGTAATAAAGGGAGGAAACCTCCCATGCTCTTGTTAGCATAGGTTTAAAATTATTTTTTTTTCTATTATATATCAGGTTTGTTCATTTTATATTGTTCAGCCAATTCTATATATACTAACTATAAGGTTTAAATATCTGAGACTGCAAATTTCCGATATATAAGCCTTATTAAAAACCTTCTTGATTATGGAGTTTTATTTTCTTTAGATGAATTCAGATTCTACTAACATGAGATACTCTTAATAACCCTTTTTTCTGCGATTTTCACTTTTGTTTTTGTGTCAAATATAGTTTCTAACTGTTTGGTTTTGCTACCTTAAGTGTGTCATAAGTTTTTTTTTTGTTATTATTATTATTTCTTAAATTGTACATTCAATCAATCAACCCTATTTCAACTGCTCTCTTTGCTAAAGCTATTTTAGTTTTCAAAAAAAAATCTCGCAATTCAATTTCGAATTTCACAGCTATAAATAATGAACCATTATCTTCAATTTTCAGAGCTTATGCTATTAAATGGTAAAAATGTTTCAGACAATTCCATAAGTTTTAAAAATATATAAATAATTGAATTATAGTCTTTATATTTTAAATAAAATTACAGCAATTTAATAATCCTACGCATCCTTTTGTAGGTTATTGAAGTGTTAAAATTTTCTATAAGCAATTTTACTTTTTTATCAAATTAAATTTACTTGCTGAAATGTGTTCATAAACTTAAACCACTTATAGTCAATATTTATTTAGTATTGTTATAAAGTACATTGAACCTGAGCTAAACCCATTATAGATCATATTATGGGTCAAGACTCATATTATGGAACTAATAATTCTCTGATTTAGACATTAACTTTTACGTTTGACCAAATCAAAATTATAAGTTACAGAAATAATCATAGTTTTCAAAAACTCCCTGCAATTTATGTTGTAGAACATAGCATTTTCTTTATTTTATCTCGTAAAATATTTCTAGTTAATCTTACTTAAACTACTTCAATAAAATAGGCTCATTATAATTTTTTTTAAATTTAATTGCTATATTTCAACAATTTGCTGGTTAAAAATTCTGTTATAAAATTTGGTGTTATTAAAAACTATCATTACTTATAGGTTTCATTCCAAAATAAATGCCTAAACTGTTGTAAGTGTAAGAAAAGCATTGCAAAATTCTTAATTTTGAAGCTATTTTGTTATTTTATTTATTTTAAGTTGCCTCAATTTTGTGTGCAATTATATTTTTTCTAAAATGGAAATGGTATTATTTGATATTGTTATGATTTTTAAATATATTATCAGTATTATATTCAATTGACTATATGATGCTACTTTTGTTTTTCTGTGATCTGATCTGATATTTTGAGCCATTTTTACTGTGATTTTAGGATAATTTATGAATCTCTAAATTGTTGATACCTATTTTATACTTTTGTTATTTGCTGTGTTTTATTTTTTGAGAATTTAATAAAGGCTACAAAATTTAGCAAACATGTTTATATTATTTACAAAATATAATACAATTAAAATTTGATGAAATTTATTTTTAAATTATTTTTCCCTTTTAAGTTATTACCGCTACCATCGCTGCTGCTTTCCAGAAAATTTACACCATTACACGCTTCTTTTTATCATAGCCCAAATAGTATTGAATGAAAAAAAATGGGAAATTTAGCTTATTGTTAGAAAAAATGTCTAAAGAACAGTCTAAAACACAAATGTTATTGATACGGAGATTTGTTTTAAAATTATTTTATGTTAAATTTGATGCCAGCCAGGTGGCTAAGGGTTAGCCAGCCTGACTGTGAAGCAAATGGTTGAGGGTTTGAATCCAGTTCAGAAATGGATGTTTCTCTATGTGTTGTACTCTGTTGTGTCATGTGGCTCACCCTGTGAACTGTGTAATCTGGCGAGAGTGATGTTGCTCACCTCCATGACTTAAATTCATGTGTGCCCACCCAGTACCGTTAAATGAACAACACTTCCACCACTTTTCGAGGTGATGAACGAGTGATTGCAGTAAGAATAAAAAATCTTACATTTGTTGGGGTTTGTTTGTTTAATGACTCTTATTTCTGTTTAGCAATAAAATGATAATTTTTTGCTTCCATCGTAGTCTTATATCTGAAGATATGCAACGCTTAGTTTAAACTTCGAATCACTCTTAAAGTTATTAAATTGTTTATTTTTTGCTTTCTTTGAGGAGCTTTGCTTCCTAAAATTCTATATTGAAATCAAGCAAATCTGGTCTTATAGGGGAATATTGTAATTTCTTTTACTTCATGTGTTGCATCGTGCTCTAATTTTTTGTCATTAAATGTTGTAGCTATGTTTTTATGAATGTGTAAAAACACTATGTTTTACACTTCTGCTATTTGTAATTGTGGTAAGTAAATTTTGATTGCAATAATAAACTTTCATTCTTTTATAAAGTTTAGATTCAAACCTAGAAGACTCCTGTAGGTGATTGAATTTCTTTTCAGACTGCCCCACGTTTATATTTAGTTGTACAAATAGAGCTTTTACTTAAGAAAGGAAAGACGAAAATTTATCATTTTTATGTATTATAATGTTTAAAAATTACCTTTTTTTTACAATCACTCCAACTACCAAATCTATGAACTCAACTTTCTAAATTATTTTATTTCTACATTAATTGTAATAATGCTTGTGAAAAATGGACAGTACATGAAAAGATGCAGCAGTACATGAGATCCTGCTTGATGACTAATTTGCCCTCAAAAAATTCATATTTACAGTTGTGTAAGAAACTGTGACGATAATCATTATAACAGCTCCAGTACATTATTCTTCAATGTAATTGGTATCAGTTTAGTACTTAATTGAATGATCACGATAGGTAATCAAAACTTGTGTTTAAAACCAAGTGCTTTAGATTAAAAATGTTTTTTGTCAGTTATATCTATTTCAAGCTTTAATTTGCAACATTTATTTTACTATAAGTTACAAGTTCCTGAAATTCACACAAGATTTAAACTTTGCGTTATTTGTGCTATAAAATCCGCAAAAGAAAAAAATAAAATAGCAACTTGATGTTTAGGGTAATAAAAAATGTAGCTTAACACTAAAGAACAAAGTTTTTCGATTATTGAGCAATATGTGCGTTTGAGTCCTTTTTTATCGCATAGTTTCCCAATTCGATGATCAGAATTGGACGCCCAGATCATGCGATTTAACTGTGGTATTCATTTTCTTTGATACTTTTAAAGCATAAGATTTATGCCATCAAGCCCTCGATCATCGACGCTTTGAATGACGAAACTGCATACCGCATCAATAAAATTCTGCAGTATATGTGCAAAACGGCTATTTAGGAAAACAGTGCATGTGTGATATCAATGCTTTATTCCCTTATCCGATATGATGTTATATGTATTTTGTATATAATTTATGAATCACAGAAAATTCTCAATTTTAAATTGAAAACCAGCTTTTTTTCTAACAAAATTACTTTTGTGAATTTTGAGGTAAAACGAATGTTTGCAATTTTAACCTACTTTATTCTGTTGCTTTGCTAGTTAGAATGTTTGGTAGGCACTTTCTTTACGTCAGACTAGAGCTGCATAATGGGGTATTGGCGACGGTCTGAAAACATCCCACAGGATTATCCAAAAATATGCCATCGCAATTTTGATCCTCTGCAGAGGGGATAATAAATGTTTGAAACGAACTTTTGTGGGTAGAAGTTTCGTGCTATTTTTCTATTTATTTATTATTATTATTTGAAAATTAGCTGGGAGTAGCTAGTTTTTTATGTATAAAACAAGCAAATTATCCTTTAATTTCCGATGGTAGTTAAAAAATTATTATACAGCGCGAATAACATAAAATACGAGAAAATAAAATTTCTAATTATAAAAATTTAAAATCTCGCTTTTTTTATTATTATTAAACTAGATTTTATTTGATGTCGATCCTAAATC